CCATGGACCCCTAAGATCAGAGGAGCCATCACAGGACCCAGAGAGAAAGGTATTTCTTTGTCTCTGAGTGATTATTTTGTGCAGCCCAGTTCACCTGGAGTGACCCTGAGTGTTTAGTCAGTAAGTGTGAATTCGATCCCCAGTAGCATGAAAAAAGAAGACAAGAAGAGGAAAAGATTGTGATCATGTGTGCCGGTGCCCTAGGAAGCTAACTGGGACGGATGGCAGTTCTAAAGGTGAAATTCTTTCTTCAAGTCACTTCCAAATGGACTCCCCAGGAGAACAGGTATTTCAAGACCTTCTGGACAGCTTTCTGGTCCGCTGCTCTGATGATACTGTGCTGATAAGACCCCCAAACCAGGAAGGAACAGATACAGGGGAGGTGATCAGTCCCAGGAGACTGCCAGTGTGCACCTCAGGGAAGACACTGGGAACCCTAGAGCCGGAGGCCAGTAAGCACGTTCTCTCCAGATAAAGACGAGATTCCATCTTGACCCCTGTGTCACTGGTGAAAAGGGAAGATGTCCTCCAGGGCAATGGGCACTTCTTAGCCTGCTTTGTTCCAACACAGGAGAGTCTCGTAAATATTCATGGGTGACTGAACAAATGTCAAAAGGGCCCAAAGTATGGTACATCTGTATGAGACTGTGATACACTAAATATGTCCTTTAAAATATACCAGTGCCTTCCCAAATTCTGTGTGCCCTTCTAGCAAATCATCAAACCCAAGAAGGAGGTCCTGGGGTTCCTGATACAGCAGTGTTGGGAGCCACGGGAGGCCCAGGCCCCACTTGTGCGTCTAGTGGGGGAAGCCTGGTAGGACAGGGCCATATCAGCCGTAGGGCAGCGCTGGGAGGGAATTACAACACTGGTCGCCCAGTTGGTGCCGGTGTATAGAATTTAACAGAAACTTGACTTTTGGTGTATGAAATAACACCCACATGTTTAGTGTTAGAAGCTCTAGAAGTGAAAAATGGAGTAAAATCTGTATCCCAGGCGAACTCTCCCCCAAACAGAGAGTGTCACAGGGAATGCTATTATGTCATCTGGTAGGTCACAGGCTGCTCTGTGGCTCCCAGTCAGACTTCCACTAGCCTCCCCAGTGCTTGCTCAGTAGACTCCTGAGCCCATGGCCAGGGTGGGCCACCAACCTTAGCCAGCTCTGTCACTGAGGAGTGCCCACCTTGTTGGCAGCAGCCACGGCTGAGCCCCCACCAAGGCACAGATTCCTAGCAAGGTCATCAAGGCCTGGTCAGTGGAGGATTACACTGGACCCCTTCCATCATGGATTGGGCAATGAGTTTTTCCTCCCTGGAATAAATAACTCTGGCCTTGCTATTTGTTTTCCTTGCCCTTTGCACTTCTGCCAAAAGCAGCCTTTCTGTGTGCGATGAATGGCTCTATTCACCACGATGTTAACACACACACAATATTGCTTCTGATCAGGGAACTCAATTTACGAAGAGGTCAGCGTGTGTGTGTTGGGGGGTGCTGTCCATGTACCCCATCACCCCAATACAGCTAGCCTTGTGGAACAGAGGCACAGCCTGTGGGAGACGTGGTGGCAGTTCCAGGTTGGGGATAACCTCTTGGGGTTGGGGTGCTGTCCTACAGGACGGGTAAACACTGAACCAAGGACACATATGTGATGCCAGATTACACAGACTTGGGAACCTAAGAGGGCCATTTCTGAAAATCACACCCAGTGACTCACTCTTCAAATGTTTGCACCCTGGGCTGGGGGTGTAGCATGAGACCTGCGTTCCATCTCCAGCTCTAGGGGGAAACAAAAAGAAAAAGCCAAATGTTTGCGTGCTTTTCCTGCTACCCTGAACCCTGCGATGGAGGGGTTTGAGTGCCTAGAGAGGACATGCTTCCACCACAGGGCA